TCTCCTCAGGGAGGTCAACCAATAAAATTACTTCCTTTAAAGCACTTTGAACAAGTATCTCGCATCTCTCCCATAGACATCCCGTTTGATTCTTGATTAGCAAATTGTTCATTTTGTTTGAATAGTTGTCTTTCGTTTGTTCCGCGTGTCTATTTTCTTCTTGCGTTCACTTACATTGTTTTACGTTGTTTTTGGTTATTGTTCTTACTAATTGTCTTCATTGTACCACACGCTTTGCCGTGTAAGAACAATAAACAATAAACAATAAACAGATCAGTGCTGTCGGGATGATATCTTTCGGTTCAGTGCTTTACTCAGGCGAGTACACAAACAAGCGATGAAAGGGTTTCTTGCTAATCAGCCCACTTAAATATGCTTGAGAACCTTTCGAATTTTTACTAGGTGTGAGGTTGGTAAAAGCGATCAAGAAAAAATGGAAGTTATAGTAATAGGCGTGAGCTTTCCGCCCACAGACCCCATCTTGCCTTCATACATTTCGTCAGTACTGTAATATTCATTAGAATATCAAGGCAGGAAGGGATCGGCTGAGTCGCGAGTGTTGATGACCTGGCCGATGGAGCAGCAGGAGCTGACAGCGTAGCGGGAAGTCGTTGTGCCAAGAGGCGACAGAGGACTGGCAAGAGTGAAGCTGCCGTCGGAGGCCGTTCAGCAGAAAGCTCTCTCTCGACCTCAGGCGCGAACCTCAACTATCTTGAGTAGGATGAATCATGCACATCGTACTCTCACCTTCTCCTTCTATACACGCACGCTAGCACTCTAACCGCCTATAACCTGGACACTCGAGGACGAGAAAAGGATGAAATGGAACAGTAGCGGTGTTCCGATAGTTAGCCTCTCGCTCTCTTACAAAAGTACAAATGATTCACTGTACGAACCTGCCTGTAGGCGAGCAGAAGTCTAGTCTTTGTATTTAGAGATAGCTCTCGACACAAAGCACATTCGACGCATAAATGATTATAAAATATTGGAGACAGGAGTCCTTGGAGTCTACTGTGTTAACCAAATGAATTATCGTTATGCATTCACATTACATAAGTTTTCACCCCATGTAAATGATATTACGTTGGAATAAAACCTGCAACAGTTTACCTGCAGCACGTTGCAAGCACTGATACCAGTGAGACACTGTGGCACGGTAAGCAACGTCCTTTCTAAAGACAACGCACGTTTTAGCTCCCTTGCCCTCGATCATGGGAGAGTAGCCGTGGAGGAACTCTTAATTAAGATAGGTCGGAAGACATCTAGTCCTTGCGAGGACTCTCAAGCTCTCGAAACTTGCAGAAAGCCATGAGATACCCGTTTGAAAAAGCCCCAGAGGACGCATTCCACTAAGGGTGGTGAGGGGTGGGGGGGGGGGTGGAGGTTAAGGCATTCAAAATGTATCTCAATGTGTTTCAGTTCTGTACTTGCACTCTAGTGAGTTCTTCCCGTTTTCATTCATTAGACAATTCAATTTTCCTCACACTTCTTGCGCTCATGATTGGTTCAAAGGCAAGGCGTACGCTAGTCTCTTAGGCATGTAAGATGAAAACGCCGACTACCAAAGGATTCCGAGTCCCTGAGGAAGCCTTACTCGATGTTTGAACGCAAAGCCATCGCTAAGAATCCACAAATGAGCGCACCGATTAGCAAATGATCATGATTCGATCGGCTGTTTCTACTCACAACAGGCGGCTGAATGGCGTTTTTTCCCCTTTATGGTTCTTTCTGAAGCAGTAAATATTATTGGTGACGAGAATAAATCTTTCTTTGGCAGAGTGCAGTTTTCTTGCAAGGAGTGCCCGTTTCAGACTTTATGACTTCTTATACTTTTCGTTTTTTTTCACTTGATTTCCGACAATTTTCGAGAGCCGCTTCCTGGAAAACTCATTGATATTTCCCTACTTGTAAGGAAAATCCCTGTCGATGCTGTGCTGAAATTTCCTGCCATTTGAAAAACATGTGTTTTCATATTTCCTGTGCAGTCGCCGTGATTTTTTCACACTAATTTTTGACCGTAGCTGATTCATCTCAGGCGTGGACACTACACTTCTTGACTGGAGTGGCCAATAGAGGACACGATTGGGGGGGGGGGGAGTTCAGGCTAGTCTCGTTTTGGCGTTGCTTTTTTGCCACACATTGTCTCTTATCCCGTTTTCTGCAGAGAAGAGTCAATTTATCGTGCCCATTTTCTTTACGTAGGACGACATAGGCGAGCCCCGCAAGTGACGAGGGAGGTGAGAAGAGAAAAATATTTACAAATGTACGATACCCGTTCAACTAGGGCTTTCACTGTTACAGCTACTTAGGACACAGGAGGAGCCAAAAAAGACACGTCTCTTTCTCGACTTTCAAGGCGATATAAGTTACACTTCATTAAATTCTTGTTGGACATTTCCACCATCAAATTTAACAACACATTGCACACGATCACGAAACATCGTCACAGCCATCTGGATTAAAGCCATCGAGAGATTCGGCCACGCGACCATGATTCGGTGCCTGAGCTGATTCCTCCGCCACTGCAGACCAACCTGTTGAGCTATTCCAAGTAGGCGAAAGTTTTCCCAACGCCCTTCGAATCCATGTGCTGGCTCCCAATCCTGTAGCATTGCGAAATTTCTAAGGTGGTACAGGCAACGACATGAAGGCGAGATAATCTCCTTGAGCTGATCGATGAAACAGTCAGCGTTCACTTTCAGTCCGCGGTCTGCTTGGAAAACACGTGAACTTTACTGATATGCGACTCGGCCGAAGTGTCTTTTTTGGCCCCCTGTATGCATGCTCCTTTCCAAATAATGTCCTGTACTACACTGAAGCAACAGATCCCTTTTCTAAAGCTCATCACAGCGTTCTCTCTAAAAATTGCCGGGCTCTTCTCTGAACGGTTTTATGAAGGTTTCGCCTCTTGCACTGCCTTACAGTTAGTCGCATGGAAGCACACTTGTATCACCCAACCTGGCAACCGGAGGGTGTCTGCTTCCTGGGCCACAGGTTGTAGAACCAGATGATATGTTTTTTGATTTTCCAGAAACATTTCTAGGAGAGGTTCAACAGTGCATCAATGGTTGCCGTTTGCCGTAAGCCTATGCAAATGTTTGCGAGCAGTTCACAGCGGTTTGGAACGCTTCCGGCCCACATGGCGCTCTGAAGAGACCACACAAACATGCTCGCGCTAAAGGACATCCATATTATATTCAGATCACCTCTAAAAGCAAACAGACAGCTAAATTTACCTTCCCAAAACTCTTCAAAATCTCAATGGTTTGCAAGTTTGTGCATACGAAGAAGTCAACGGTTTTCGGCATATTTGTTGTTTTTTATTTGGTTCACGTTTTTTCATGTCTCTTCTTGATTCAATAAAATTCACTGGTGGACCAACTAATTCCTTCCATTGTTGTGAAACAATAGCTGAGTTAAGGGAAGGTGAGACATGAGCGAGAAACCAGTTAGATGAAGCGACACCATAGGAAAGTCGCCGAAAGAGGTGATAAGTAATACTCTTTTACAAACGCCACACATGAAACGAGGCTGTGCCCTAGTAGTAGGGCGCTTCGAGTGATGCCGCGCAAGAAGTACCATAAAGTCTGCTTTCAAGAAAAGTCAGTAGATGACTTTTTTACCTGCCTGCCGCTGAAAGCAAAATGGTGGAACTTGAAGCGCCTTGGATCAGAAGCTGTGTCGGTTGGCAGTCTGGCCTAACTGGCGAACTTTCGGGCGAGTGCAGCTTGATCTAAAGACACTCCATACTGGAGTTCTCTGTGACAATACGATACCAGAGCCTTTCAAATCGAATATCTAGAACTGTTGTTTGACCCGCTGGCTTGCGACCACGGAAGTTGACATCCGCCTTAGCGTAATAGAGCGAAAATATTAAGCTGGTCGGCTTGCGCTACGTGTATGGGTCGCGTTTGCAACGACATACACAAGAAATTCTGTACAGATCTTATAGTTGATGATACGCGAGAATCTCGTCTTCGATGGTACCGTCTCGACCGTCATGTAATTAGCGCAAAGGCAGAAAGCTTCCGTGGGACTGGTCTCTGACTTGGAGTGCTCGAAAAACGCCCTAAGGACGGCCAAGGCAACATTGGTGAAATGCTGCACATGCACTCGAAGGTAGTCCTTGATAACCCCTGACGCTTTCAATCAAAACAAGGCGTCAGGAAATCATAAGAGGGGAGTCCGCTACATGGCTGGAGAATAGGAAGAAGAATACATTGTTCACAGAGATCCGAAGCAGACGTTGGAGGAGGATTGTGCACTGAAAGGTCTTCATATCAGCTGCTTCGCCTCCCATTCTTCCCCGCTCGGTTCTATGCACACCTAGCAAGCTCATGCGAGCTCACTTGTCTCTATGCTGTGCTTGATAATAGATAGAGGCTTCTGGTTTACTGCGAACAGACAGGAAATGGTAATCATTTCAACGGTGGAAGGAACATAGAAGGTGCATGTCCGCCACATTAAAATCTGCAAATTTTAAACGGTCATTATTGGAGGAGATTCTGACGGTTTCTCTTGCTTTTTCACTTGATGTCAGTTAGCATATACATTTTCGTTTCTGAACTTCACCCTCCCTTCGGCCACTTCCAGTCGCAGAATGTGCTGTTAAATCTAAGAACGAACAATTAACATATACATACCACAAGAAAACGAAGAAAATGAAGTCAGTAGCAGTTGGTGCCCGATATTCTACGAACGGAATTGTATAAAAACTGAATAATGATGAAAGAAATGAACAAAAAAAATAGGTGACTAACTTCTATCAATAAGGCAGTGTCCACCACGCCGACAGGTAAACCGCTGGCCATAAGTGACAGCACGCCGGAAAAACGCGTTACACCCACGACATGAGCGTACGCCGTAGTGGAAACCATCAGCAGAATCACCACAGACTACACATAGTTCTATAAATGGATATATTATCAATATCGCAGATTGGCATGATATCATGTCGCTAGGGGCAAGTTATGGGAGTATTTATTCCATAAATTACTAGTTTGGCTAGTTCACATTCCCGCAAACTTGCCGCGACTCATCTTAGACAAAACCTACGAGGACAGAGCGCCAAGACAAACGAAACGAATAGCAGTGTCAGAGCAGACCCGGAAAAGATAGCTCGTATTCAGGATTACGGTCGACCACAGAACATAGTTCAACTACGAACATTCCTGGGTATGACAGGATACTATTGAAAGTTCGTGTTGTGTTTTTCGCAGATCGCTAAGCCTTTATATGACTTGACAAACGCAACAAGTTTATTTGGGTGGACAAATGAGCACACCTTAGCTTTTGATATGCTTAAAAAAGCACTCACCGAAGCTCCAGTTAGCGCAACCCAATATAGAAAAAGCAAGGGACGGATCTCGCCCCTTCATTATCTACACTGGTGCTAGTAGGGTAGGCATAGGCGCGATTTTAGCTCAGGGCGGAGATGACGGCTTGTTGCACCAAGTATTTTTTGCTTCAAAGCGCTTGTCTGGGATGACAAAAACTATCATGTAACAGATCAAGAAGCGCTAGCCTTGATTTTCAGCCTCAAAAAGTCCCATTATTTCATTTACGGTGTTCCTACTATAATTCGGACAGATCATGCTGCTCTCACATCGCACTTCAAGCGAACCAATGTTTCCCCACGGGTTTTGAGGTGGGTGCTCGAAGTTCAGCGTTACTACCTGACTATAGATCGTGAAAGGAATTGCCAACGTGGTTGCGGATGCGCTGTCACGAGGGCTTCCTATACGAGACAGTAGCGGCCCAGGTTATGCCGAAGACGAAAAAGTAGTCTGTACAGTTCAAGAAAATGACTGGCTCGTGGAATTTCAGGACCCTGCCTTTGAACTTCTGATAAAATGCCTCGAGGATGGTGAGACTGAAAAAGTCAAACTTTTTAGGCATGGTAAAGTCCTTACAGCGCTGATTTTGTTTTGCACAATGGAAAATTGAGTTTGATCAATGAGAACGGATCTCTGGCGAGCGGGTACCACACTCACGAAGGCGAGAAATTTTTGACGAAGCCCATTCAGGTAACCTAGGCAGACATTTCAGCGCCAAGAAAATGCTTATGCAAATGAGAAAGTCTCTTTTGGCCAGGGATGTATCAAGATTTGGTCAGTTGGTGCCACAGTTGCCAAAGCTGTTTCTTGACTAATCAAAGGACAGAAAACGTGCCACCCTTACAGCCTATTGAAGTCACAAGACCACTCCAGATAGTCGGCGTCGATTTATTAGAAATGGGCTTGACCACGCCGGGAAATCGTTACACTGTCACCATCATCGACCATTTCACGAAATATTTAGGTGCGTACCCCATAGCAGACAAGAAAGCGGAAACCGTTGCTCAGGTCATTTTTAGCGATTGGGTTTGTGGTGCCGGAAAATGGCCAGAAGTAATTCTCTCCGATCGAGGGAGCGAATTCGAATATGAGATAATGGCCGCTCTCTGTAAAGTTATGGGAATAGCGCAAAAATTCACTAAGGGGTGCTGCCCCCGAGAGAATGGACTGAAAAAAGGAAAGGCTCAATGGTTAGAATGTTGAAAAAGAAAACAGTGGTAGCTGCGGAATGGGATCGAGTTCTACCGACCGTTGTTTATGCGTATAATGCGTCCCCGCATGCAGCAACGGGAGAAGGCCCCCATTTTTTTGTTGTATGGGCATGATCCGGTATATCCTTCAATGTCAATACCTTCGGAGCACCTATCGCCTTATATCGTGGATTACGATACCTACAAGACAGAACTGCTTTGCGGACTCAAATTAGCGCGAGAACGCATCAATGAAAACGCAAAGGAGTATCGTGACAAAATGAAATTAGCTTATGACAGAAGGTACAAAACAGCTTTCTTGGTAGTTTTCAGGACAGGTGATAGAGTTTATATGAAGCTCCCTGCCGAGAAAGGCAAATCGCGGCATCCCAAATTAGCAACTGAGTGGTCTCCAGTCAGGGTAATTGAAGCCAGCGCTAACCCAGCATTGGTCACTTTGATCGGTGTAAATGAAGAACCGGTTAGGGTTCAGTTTGACCATTTGATTAAAATACCTAAGGAGATAGGTAATGACAGAGTCATAGGGACCGCAGCACATGCAAAACGTGGTAGAAGAAAGAAAAATTCTAACTTTAGTAATGTACTATCTATTCAAAAATTTCATTTCAGCGCACCACCATCGTCCGAAGACAACGCTTGCCATGTAGACTGGAGATATCCGGGAAGCCTGGAGGTCAACGGACAACGAGTGCACTGCTCTGTCAACAACGCCACGGAGAACTTCTTCCAAATATTGTTCTGTCATTATGTCTTTCGATCACCATACAAACTCGCACGATTAACTGCTGTCGCTACGCAGTCACATATACCCGAAAATTTTCGAGTCGCCCGACTTTTGGATACCTGTTATGATCTGATTACACCAACCTCTTTGGGTTTGGATGTTTTATCGCAGTCGTTGCATTCACACTGCCCTGGCGAGCGTGGCTGATGCCACCACACCAACGGCGGGTTTCCCCCTCGCAGTACCATGGGTCCCTATCATCTGGCAAGGATGTACACAGAAGCGCTACAGATAGCTAACGCCCATCCCTGGACCGGCAACAGCGGAATAGCTGTAAAACTACGCCACATTTTGATCATTTTGCCAGAAGGATTCCAGGATGTACTAGCTGGATTTGAAACGGCCACAACAATTGCAAAGTCAGCTCGCACCATAGAGGAACTCGAACCCCTCTGGTACGAGGAAGAATTCAGCGCCATTATCCTATACTCGTTAGCTCATTACACCGAGCCAATGCAAGGAAGAGCGCCTGGTATTTACTGATGAAAGCCGTATGGAGGCGCAGAACTTATCGCAATTGCGCTACCACAGGACGACGCAGACTGGAGCAGAAGCGTTGATCTTCTCGGACTACATCGAAGAAACTTTTGCCCAAAGACCGTCTCTCAAGCAACGCCTTCGTTCCTCCTACCTTTGCGTTCTCAAAACTTCTCTGTGGATGCGCCGTTCAAAAAATTGGAGGATAAAATAACCTGGTACCAGGTCGACACTTCACGCAGAGCGCATCAAAGAGATTCTGGCCCTCTACCTTTAAAGCACACAGCTCAGTGCTGTGCTTGCCGGAATTTCACCGACTCCCGGATCACCAGAGACGCGCTCCACTAAGGCCATTCCAAGAAAAGAACTACTCCCATCAGCATGCCTATAGTAGCCAGCGCGGATATCGATGCACAGAAGGAATCGTTTCATAGAAGCCACCGCTCTTGCTCCAGATCGCGACCGTTCACCTCAGAGAACCGCCACGACTTCAGCAGGCGATCGCTTCGTGGGCGCGTTTGCAAGGGGGATAAGCGCAGTGGAAGCGCTTCGTTATTCCGGGGGGAACCCATGTAAGAACCCATAGATTATTGTAAGGGCCCATGGATTATGTAAATTATATTGTTTGGTTGTGACCCAGTGCTAGAGACTGCTGGAGACTGGAGGAGATCTAACTTGGGGCTAATGACCAACGGACATCGAGGTGCCCGAGGATATTGCCAGGGGGAAACAGCTGACCCCCGAGGTATCGTAAGGTCGACCCGCCCCCTCTCGCGACCACACATAAATAGCGAGGTCACACAGAATTGTACTCTTCTCTTTTTACTCACTCGATACTCGCCTCACGTCTCCAGTGTCCCAACACGGGGACATTTATTCTACCGAATAAAATATTCTTTAATCTGTGTTCAACCAATCTAGTCAACTAATATATTTCTTCGGAGCCGAAGAAAAACCACTACAGTTCTCTCTCTTGAGCCTTCGTTGCTCTGCATGGATGTCGAGAGTTATCTGATCATAAACATTACAACGATTAGTCAGGGCCTGCCTAGCGCAGAGTAGGGCGGCAGAGCGATCGCTTCTGTCTCGTGGGTACCATCGCATGGTCGCGAAACTTTATGTCCGTGAATTATTCTCATCGTATGGCCGGCAAATCGGTGTTTTGCTTCGTCAACGTGAAGTACAATGTCTTTGATCTTGAACATAGCTCTGACACCACAGCACGTTAACGACAATCACGTTAGAAAGCGCCGCGTGGGGCAATGACGTATTTTCGCGTCCGCTATTAGCCACCGGTGGCTCATATTGTCCCTGGTGGACCAATATTTGCTGCTCTGTCAAGTTTCGCGAATGACCAGGCAATTTTGCAGGGGGGGGGGCATTATTACAATGCTTGATCATACTGGACAACATCTCAGCCCGCCTCGCTTGATCACGCCCACTTTTCAGCGAGATCGTGACTTTCGAAACTTCATTCTATAACTTCCGTTTCTGTGGATTTTTTTGCATTTCGCGCTTTCATATCCTGCTATATATAATCCGAGCGTCGCAGAAAAGATAGGACGACAGCTCCAAGAAGTGATATACATGGCACGACGGGAACGCTTTTGGTTGGTGATAGAATGTGATAGCACCTGATAAGATTCGATAAGAGGCCTTAGAAGGGGAAGGTGACCAAGTTCATAGTGCAGGACACTGTAACAGTGGGACATTGGGTTCCAGGGTATGATATAGGACGTGAGACAGGAACATTATTGATGGGTGACAGGGAATGATATCAGCTGATAAGATTCGATAAGGGGCATTAGAAGGTTAGGGTGACCGAGTCCATAGTGCGGGACACAGTAACAGTGGGACATTGGTTCCAAGGTATGGTATAGGACGTGGGACAGGAACATGGGTGACAAGAAGGCCTAGCAGCTGATAGGATATTGATAAGGGGAGTTAGAATGGTAAGGTTGCCACACTCATAACGCGGAACACAGCATCAGCTAGACATTAATTTCAGAAAATGATATAAGAGTTGGAGATGGGGACACGGCAGGTGAGGTGATAACAGCTGATAGAGGCTGATAAGGAACGTTGCCAACGCTGTTCAGTCAAATTGCTGGAGCCTTTTTCCTACTAAATTATAGAGTTTTAGTGATAGGGACATTGATGACGGGGTGACAGGATCTTATCAATTGATAAGAAAGGATAATCTCATTACCTCTCTTATCACTATACCCCCAAGTATCAAAGGCTTAGTGTGCATACTTTTCCCTTAGCCAGCACTTCCCTGATAGCCCTAGAAAATGAAGTTATCCTACTATATAATGTCGATGTCGACGAGCGGGGGAGGGAGGGGGGGTACGTAGTTCGCCTGAAACAGGAATCCCATGGAAATTCGAAGAGAACCGAAAAACACTTCAACGAGCGGATCGCATGCTAATTGAAAAGGGAAGCGTTCATCGGTAGACATTCCGGTGCAGGTAATGGAGACGAAATCTACTATTTCACTGAGCGATTCATTTTGCGCTGTATTGGCCGACTACACATTGTATCTATCTACAGATTTACGTATTCTATGGGCGTCATGGCGCGGACTACATGCTAAATAGAAGCGCGTGGTGAGTTGTGCGGGATCCTAAGCCTTGCTCTGTCTGTTACGATTCGATCACTACAGCGCCTTATGAGCAGCCCACTACCAAAAAAGTTCCGTTAAAATTATGGAGCCGCCTGGCGAAGCCAGGTCAGCTCGGCGAAGCCGGGCTCAGGAGAAGAAGGAGAGCACTGCGTGAGCCGTGCGATCCGACTGGTTTACACAATAAATCCATGCAGACACAAATTTTCTGTATGGGAGTTATTCAGAGTCTGCTGAGGTTGAGTCCAGTGAAGTGTCATTCCTTTTTCCATGCTCAGCCTTTTCAGAGCGCGGACATCCAGACAGCCTCACGCATGCTGTACAGGAAATGTATGTTATGGCTCGAATCATGATGTCAGACTTTCGAAGTGCGCACTTTTCATAGAATTTCGCAAAGAAAAAATTGTGGCACCAATTTGGCGCCCACTGGCGATAAAAAGGACGCCTCAAATTCCAGAGCACAGGTACTCAA